AGAGGGCAGCGGGGGTGGGGAGGCGGCGGGAGCGCTCCTGATTCTCCCGCCTGGGCTGTGCGCAGAGTACAAGGAATGCTTCTCCCTGTATGACAAGCAGCAGCGGGGGAAGGTGAAAGCCACAGACCTCATAGTGGTGATGAGGTGCCTGGGGGCCAGCCCGACACCGGGGGAGGTGCAGCGGCACCTGCAGACTCACGGAATAGGTGAGTGGGCTGGGCCAGGGCTGGGGAAAAGGTGCGCTGGGCTGGTGGGGGCCCTGGGCCCTGCAGCTAGGATCCTGGCAGGGGCCCAACAGGTGAGTGCAGATGGTGGAGTGTGAACAGGTCAGAGGTTTGCGGGGCAGCTGGGGGCTGTGGAGGCATTTGGCCAGGTGTGTTGTGCATCACTCAGGCTTCCTTGAGTCCTCACAGCCATGGTGACACCCTTGTCTCACAGAGGGCCATGGGCTCTAAGCTTTCCAACCAGGTTATCACAACTCTGCAGTCAAGACAGTGCTAACAGTGATCCCAAAATCACTTTGACAGAACAGTTTCCCTTTATTGAGTATTTGTCATGTGCTTAGCGCAGACAATCCCATGCAGAAGGTGCTGCTTCTCAGGTGAAGATCAAGGTTCAGAGCCATTGTGTCACTTGCCCAAGTGCTTAAACCAATAGTGGAATAAGAGTTGGATCGCAATTCTTCTGATTTCAAAGACTAACCTTCTAAAAACTATACAACACTGGGAGAGAAAAGGGTGGAAGAAAACCCAGCCAAAACATAGCCAAGTGGTTCTCTCTGGTGATGGGGTTATGGATGATTTTCATTCCCTTTATTGTTGTTTCCTGTGTTTTTGACAATGGGAACATATAGGACTTTTATTACCAGAAACAAACACATTGGTTTTTTTAAAAGAAAACAAGAGGGGTGTCAGAGACCAGGGTGGCTGTTTGCATTGATAGCTGGATACTCAGGAAGGAAAGACTGTCCTAGAGAAGGGAGGCGGCCTGTAAAGATCACTTGGTCTGGAGGACCTCAGCTTCCTCATCTCTCAGATGGATTCCCTCCTTCTGCTGGGTTACCCCAAGGTCCCATCAGAGTGTCACTGCAGCAGTGCTGGGAGCCTATCCAGGGAAGGTCAGGCTGGGCCCAGGGCGGGCCTCTGAGGCCTAGAGCCCAGGGATGGGGCGCTCAGTGACTGAGATCCCATTTCCACCTCCAAGGGGCGGTGCTTTCCTTTGGTTTCTGTCTCTTCCAAACAGGAAGTTGTGGTCAGGGGAAGTTCCCATTTCCTGCAGTTGTACCCCAGTCAGGGTCAGGACCAGGGCCAGAGCCCAGGCCTCCAGGCATGCTCAGAGGAGGGGCATGGGCTGGGGAGCCTGGGGTGGTTGCCGTGAGGGGAAAGGCAAATGACTGGGGATTGAGGCCCCAGGTTGGGCCGCCTGTCCATCTTAGTGACCGTGCAGTGGTGGCCACTAAAGGGGGGGTGGACACGGAGATGTATTCCCCCCAGTTCAGGGCGCAAGAGAAGCACCCGGAAGGGAGCAGAGGAGGTGGTGCTCCATCCTGGTCCTGCCAGTGCTCTGGGAGGTGACACCCCTCTCAGAGCTCCTGTCTCCTTAGTGGGCAAAGTGGGATGATGACCACAGTCCCTGAGGAATGTTGGGAGGACTCAGTGAGGCACATCCATGGGGGCCTAGTAGAAGAGTCCGCCTCCTCTTCGCCATGACCACTGCCACCATCAGGGCACTTCCTGAACTAGGTGGCCCTTGAGTTGGCCATGAAGGTTTGGGCAGGAGGCAGTTTGGCTTCCCCAACATGAGCCTCTCCTCACTGTGCTGCGTTTGGGGGTCTCCTAGACAGAAACGGAGAGCTGGATTTCTCCACCTTCCTGACTATTATGCACATGCAAATAAAACAAGAGGACCCGAAGAAAGAAATTCTTCTGGCCATGTTGATGGCAGACAAGGAGAAGAAAGGCTACATCATGGCGTCCGAGCTGCGGTCAAAACTCATGAGACTAGGGGAGAAGCTCACCCACAAGGAAGGTAACGCCTGGTTCCCTCTTTTCCCACAGCGGGAGAGGACTGGGGAGTTGGGGGGAGGACACCAGAGCCCGATCCCTGCCACCAGGACGGTGTAGACACTGCATTTCATGCATGCCCCTGAAGGCTGCGGCTAGATGGCCTTATACTGACAAAGACACAGGTGAATGGAGTCGCCTGCGGGAGCAGAGCTGAGAGTTGCACGTAGGTCTATTAGACACCTCTTAGTGTCCCCATCCCTGCCCTCACCCCCTCCATCTCAGGCTCTTTTCTTTCGCCACAGCTGTCTTCTGAAGTTGCTGCTGAGGCCAGGTGTCCAAACTGAGATGCTACTTTGTCCCCTCTCCTCATGACCCAGCCAACTCTTAACAGCTCCTCCACGGGGTGTCTGTGGTGGCCTTTGCTGCGGCTGCTAGTCACAGGACCCCATGAGAGGCCTTTGCCTCGTACCTTTCAGCAGCCCAGCCTGCCTTCCTGCCTCAGAGCAGGCCAGGGGCCTGGGCCTTCTGGGGAAGGGCAACCCCCATGCTGGGCCATTTGCCTGCTAGCCCCTCGGGCCTGTTACAGCGGCCACTGGAGTCACCACCAGAGCCCACACCCAGCAGCCCGAGGCTGGGATTTCTCAGGCTGCTGGGCTGGCCTGTGGTTGGGACGGGCAGGCTCAGCTAGGACACAGTGGGTGGAGGAAAAGGGCTTCAACAGTGTCGGGCCTTTAAAGGCTAAATCACAACAAACCAGTGGAGGGGTTGCAAGGTTGTGGTTGGAATTAGATTTGAATCCTGGCTCCTCCTCATTCTGGAGGACCTCAGACAGGTTTCTTGACCTCTCTTACCCTCCTCGGTTTCCTTGTTGGGAAATGAGGTTACAATAGGCAATCCCTCAGGTTCCCCCAAGAGCTGACATTGTATAAAGGCGACTGCTTAGATTTTATCTGCAGGCACACAGGCACAGTGCACAGCATTTAAAAATAGTGCCGCTCTTCCAGGCTGGCGGCTCTCCCGATCCTTTCAGTGGGCTGTTCTAACGTGAGCAGGGAAACTGGCTCGCCTTCCCTTCCCTCTCAGCTCGGGGGACACTGCTCAGCCTTTTCTGTACCACATGGAGTGTCAGTAGCTGAGGCCTTCATTCTTATGCTTACTGACCTCTGTCTAAAGTAATACCACGGGCCCCAAACTCGTTCATATTTCTCATTCGTTTAACCAGTCAAGAAACATTTCAAAGAGAATGGCAATGTGTTCCCGACAAAGCTGGGAGACCAATTTCCCTTCTTTGGCTGGGGAGACAGAAAAGATGATACTAGAAGTAGGAATCCTTTACTCTGGGTGATTGAAAGAAAATCTTCAGTTTTACCAAGAAGCATCCTTGGAGCAGCGAGAGAAGGCTGCCGGGGAGGCCTCCCTTCTAAGGCCTGGGATGGGGGGCCTCAGCACCCTGGTTCTTTCTGGGCTCAGTGAAGCGCCATACTACCCAGCAGCGTGGCCCCTTCTCTGGACAGGAGGCGGCTCAGTGACTGGCACTGGAGCCGGGGCTGGACCTGTCCACTGGGATGGTTTAAACCAAGTGCCTTGTGGGTAGAAACTTCTCCATGAAGAAAACTTAGTGTTCTTAACATTCTAAAAATACTCAGCATTTCTATCAGCTTAGGCACAGAGCATAGTGATTACATTTTAAAGGAGGCCGGTTAAGCAGAGAATCACAGGGTATTTCTAACTTTCCAGAATTACACCTCGGGGACATCTAGGGCTGAGGAAAGTGACATAGGGCAGTGAGGCAGTTTTTTGTAGGAGGGTCAGGATTTTTCAGAGCCAAAGGTAGCTTGACCCCGAGAGGCCACCATGGAGAAGTATAAGCTGAAATGGCCCTTCTTGCCAAGATCTGGGACAAGCTAGTATTTTGTCCAAGGAATCCAGAACCAGAAGAAACAAGTAAATGAAGCACTTTCTTTAGAGCAACCGTCATAGAGAATACAGTTTTGTAACCTACACAGCTGAACTTATTTTCTCTCACACTATCCCCACCCCCCAAACACAAACTTTTTAAAAAAGAGGTGATGGTGGCAGATACTACTTGTCACCAAGTCCTCTCTAGGGATGGGGCATGCCAACTTGGAAGGGAAGGCAAGCGGGCCAGAGGCAGGCGAAAGCCTGGGCCAGGGTGGCCCAGGGTGGAGCTGCCAAGGGTGCCTGTGCAGCTGGGAAGCTGGGAGGGTGGGCTGTGGAAGGTAAAACCCATTATAAAGGTTTCTGGAAATATAGGTACAGGAAATAAAGGACATTTTCTTAAAAAAAAAAAAAAAAAAAAAACCA